GATTCTCCTGCTTCAGCCTCAGGAGTACCTGGGATTATAGGCAGCCGCCACTATGTCTGGCTAATTTTTTGTATTTTTAGTAGAGATGGGGTTTCACCATGTTGGCCAGGCTAGTCTTGAACTCCTGACCTCCAGGTGATCCACCTGCCTTGGTCTCCCAAAGTGCTGGGATTACAGGTGTGCGCTGCCCCGACGACCGGCCCAGATAGAACATTTTCTTGTGGCAGAGTCCCGCAGCTCTGAGAGCTGAACGCGCTGCCGCCACCCACCACATCATGGAAGAAGCTTAAAATGTTACGCTGAGAGAGGCCAGACACCAAAGGGAACACAGAGAATGAGCCCACAACGTAGTTCAAAACGGACAAATCCAAGCAGGTTTAGGAAGGCGATCGTAGGAGGCAGAATTATACAGAAAAACAAAGAAATTATTGTCATGAAAGTGGAGAAGGGAGGGTGTTCTGATGGCAGGGAGTGTAGGGGAACCCTGGAGTCTGGTACTTTCTGTTCCTTAACCTAGGAGGGGAGTCCGTGGTACTGATTTATTACATTGGTTTTTTTTTTTTTAAACCACCAGGAGACGTCTGTAGTTGTCACAACTGGGGAGTGCCCCTGGCATTGGAGTGGGTGGAGGTCAAGGGTGCTGCTCAGCCCCCTGCAGTGCCCAGAGCGGCCCTGCCCCAGAGAATGATCCAGCCCCAAATGTCTGCAATGCCCTGAAGGAGAGACTATGATTTTTATTTTTATTTTTTTTTTATTTTTTATTTTTGGGATGGAGTCTCGCTCTGTCACCAGGCTGGAGTGCAGTGGTACAATCTTGGCTCACTGCAACTTCCACATCCTGGGTTCAAGCAATTCTCCTGCCTCAGCCTCCCGAGCAGCTGGGATTACAGGCATGCACCACCACGCCCGGCTAATTTTTGTATTTTTAGTAGAGACGGGGTTTCACCATATTGGCCAGGCTGGTCTCGAACTCCTGGCCTCAGGTGATCCGCCCGCCTCGGCCTCCCACAGTGCTGGGATTCCAGGCGTGAGCCGCCACGCCCGGCCTCATTTGTAATGATTCTAACTGCAGTTAGGTTTCGTTTCTTTCTGCATGTGCTTATTTCAAAATTCCAAAAGGAAAGGGAGAGAGTGAGGGGGAAAAAGATAAAAGAGAAATGGGAAGTACTGGGGCAAAGATGAGAGGGTGGCGGGGAGAGGTCAGGCCCCTAAGGGCACCACCAGCGTGAGCAGGGGCTCAGTGTACCCTCTACCTGGTCCCTTCCACCCGCCAGCATCAGCAGCAGGTGCTCCAGGCCGTAGAGCGCGCCAAGCAGGTCACCGTTGGGGAACTGAACAGCCTCATTGGGGTGAGTCTCTCCAGCCCCTGCCCCGCCATGGGGAGACACCCACTCCCAGGTCCCTGGCACCCGCCCAGGAGGTGTTAAAGCTGGGGGTGGTGTGTGGGCCTTGGCTCCAGCGGTCCTGGGAATCCCAGGGACACTCTGTGCTTGGGTCCCGTCCCCTGTGTCTACCTCTTGGCCTGGGGACTGCTGGGCTCCCGCTGCCCCCTGCCCCGGCCCATCCTCCCTCCTTTCTAGCAGCAGCAGCTCCAGCCGCTGTCCCATCACGCACCCCCTGTGCCCCTCACCCCCCGCCCAGCCGGGCTGGTGGGTGGCAGTGCTACGGGGCTGCTCGCCCTCTCTGGAGCCCTGGCTGCCCAGGCTCAGTTGGCTGCGGCTGTCAAGGAGGACCGTGTGGGCGTGGAGGCCGAGGGGTCCAGAGGTGAGTGGGCAGCGTGAGGTGGCATTGGCTGGGGGGATGGGGCTGGGGAGGAGGACTGGAAGGCCAGGGCAGCAAACACATCATCGTGAGGGGATGCGGTGGCTCACACCTGTAATCTCAACACTTTGGGAGGCTGAGGCGAGAGGATCACTTGAGCCCAGGAGTTCATGACCAGCCTGGGCAACAGAGCAAGACCCCGTCTCTACAAAAATTTTAAAAATTAGCTGGGTGTGGTGGTGCACACTTGTAACCCCAGCTACTTAGGAGGCTGAGCTGGGAGGATCACTTGAGGCCAGGAGTTAGAGGCCAGCCTGAGCAACATAGCGAGATGCCATCTCTATGAAAAATTTAAAAATTAGCCAAGCATAGGCTGGGCATGGTGGCTTATGCCTGTAATCCCAGCACTCTGAGAGGCCAAGGTGGCTGGATCACCTGAGGCCAGGAGTTCGAGAGCAGCCTGGCCAACATGGGGAAACCCCATCTCTACTAAAAATACAAAAAAAATTAGGCAAGAGTGGTGGTGCATGCCTGTAATCCCAGCTACTTGGGAGGCTGAGGCAGGAGAATCACTTGAACCTAGGAGGCAGAGGTTGCAGTGAGCTGAGTTCAGCCTGGGCAACTGAGCGAGATGCCATCTCATTTATAAGTAAATAAATGCCAAGCATGATGGCATGCACCTGGATGGAGTCCCAGCTACTCGAGAGGCTGAGCCCAGGAGGTCGAGGCTGCAGTGAACTGTGACTGGGCCACCGCACTCCATCCTGGGCAATGGAGCAAGACTCCATCTTTTTTTTTTTTTTTTTTTTT